CCTAATTAATGTTTCAAAACTATTCAACATTTATACGTTTTATTATTTTATGATCACCTTGGAAGGGAAATTTAAAAAGTGGGATGACGATCGATCTGAAGTTAACTTCTTAACAAATTCAAATATGTTTTCCGCTTTTTTGTTATCGCATTACTATGTATAGTTGTAGAGGTACCTATACCTATTATCGATGAACAAAAGATGAGGATTTTTTCGTCGAAAAAACGGTTGTTATCGAATACTAATTCAAAGTAACTTAAAGCGGTACACTTAGCGCTTATCCTTCGTACAGTTCGTTCCATGTCAGTAAGTACCTACCACTGTTGATTGTTGCGTGATTACAAGATTATAAAGAAAAACTGTTTCTAGCGAGAGAGTACCACTCAGATTATAAAGTCATAGTTAACAAACCGAATACACTTTATATAGAAGACAACATTTTCCATGTAGTATAATTTTTTTTCAAAAAAAAAAAAAAATCTTTTTAAGTTTTAAACACATAAAAATACCGGCTTTGAAAACAATTTTTTTTCGGTAATAATGCGGTATGAAAAAATTAAAACGTCAATACTCAGCAAATGACCTATTGACCTATTGCCTTTATGCATCTCGAACACATTTCTCAACCATGGCTGTATATTATGGAACACGATTGTTTGTTTTTCGAGCGATATTCACAAATAATTAAAGCGTGCGTGTAACCTCTTAATATTATAGCAAGTCAAAATTATTCGTCGCAACAGACGCTCGACCCTCGTGAATACTCTGGTGATTCGCAGAGATAATATTAATATATTTAGCATCACATATTATATTAATATGCATTTTGACATGTTAATGCGAACCTCGATAGGTAGGTATAGGTATCGTTAAATGAGAAACCGGAGATGAGAACCGACGGTTAGGTAGTTATGGCGTGTATTATACATTATTATATGGTCTTTGGAATAACAATATATGAAACGCGTGGCGGTATATATATTACGACTTATGTGGTTAATATTTAAGTTATAATCTATATTGTTATAGGTACAACGTACCTAGTATATTATTATATTATGAATTATCATAATTAACAAAATAATAAAATATACGGTCGACATAAATTATCATAAATTGGACCGGAGTCCAGCGATTTGTAAGGAATTCTATTATTAACCATATACCAGGTATAAACCGGGCGGGAACCAACAGGTAAGCCGACAAACGTCGTTAGAGATTACTGAGAAAATAAAGGGAAAAAACCGTTTGTGATTGAACGCGTGTCAGGACACACGGGATCGACGATCGGGGGTAATGTATAATATATTATATACGATAATAGCACTTTATATATTTATATCGAGCACGAACACGCACGAGCAGAACGTTTTAAAGCGTATTTACGATTTTTAAGTACTCATAAAACGTTAAATTATAAATTACATAAAAATATAATAATTATTATATTACAGGCGAACCGTTCGACAGTGGTTTTATGACCCGCTGCAGGTGGCATCACCTAATCCGAAAACCAATAAAGGTATTCACGTCGATCGATTACAGAATTGTACGCACCTACGACGATATCGCAATAATGATATTTATTATTGAAGTATTATTGTATTTTCGATTATAATAATAATATAATATATTATATCCTACACGGCGATCCGATTTCGTTTTTACGATATAGGAAAATATATTATAATTCACGATTATATCGATAAAAAAATGCTGAAACATTTAAAACCATTTCTAAATACGTCGTATAGTTTATTTATGATAATACTATTATAATACGTACCTATACAATAATAATTATAGAACCGTTTACGATTTTTTACTTCGAATTCATTAAATTATTATTACTCAATATAATATAATGATATGCAGATATCATAATAAATTTCCATATCTTAAATAATCGAGAAATCGTAGTGATTATATCGAGGGGGTTTGTGCAGGGTGTATTTCCCCCCACAGTTATGAAATTAGAACCCTAATAATTTTTTAATTAGTTCTTATATGGTCCTTATTATGTACCTACAACAGTATACAGAGCCATTATAATAATATTATATATGACTATATTAGAATCACAATACATACAATGCGTGTTTTTTTTTTTTTTTTTGATAGTGGGTGAAGTTGTTCCATTGAATAATGATTGTATGCTCTCGTCATAAGAATAATATACAAAAATGTAGGGCTTTAACAACCCCTCCCCCCGCCTCCAATTGTTTCGCTTAAAATGCACCACCCCGAGTAGCTGGTACCTATATACAGGTACTTATATATGTTATGATTAATGTGTAGTAAAATTAAATTCTGTCTATGAAATCAGTTGGATTTTAAACGGCTCTGACGTTTCAATCATTTGCGGTTGATCACTCGGTACAAACGTGCAAGCGTGCATAATATTACAATATAATTCCGGTCTGTGTAAGTTATATAATGGAGGCACATTGGTGCGATTCCGGAAACGGTTTGCAGGATATGTCGTGAAAACGACCGCACTTCACAAACAATCCGCAGATTTCGTAATAATAATTGTTTATTATTCAAACGTCCGTCGGTTAAAGTTTATATTATTATTATTGCTCGGGGCCGAGTCAAGTCGAAACGAGTACTGCACAATTTTGGACGTTTCCGACGAGTGACTGCAACGACTATATCAATATTAATATGCTAATAATATGGCCACACTCTGCGTAATGATAATATTATTAATTAGGAAATTTCGTGTTTTGCTTTTTCTCGGATAACATAATAATATTAGGTATACGATTCTATAACACGGTATATACCTACTTCGACCGTTAGTCGTATTACCGACACGCGTGTTCGGTTTACTATGATAATATGAGCCCTCCCGTTCCTCGCTACTTTATGTAATAAAATAATATCATTATTATCATTATATTATTATTATTACGAACACAACGTCTTTGACCGAGATTAGTTTTAATTAAAATACAGACGCACGCCGTAGCCGCATAAATATTTTTACGATTATTGGACGGTAGGATGGATATAATAATAATAATATTATATGTATACCCATGTGAAGGCGGAGTCATTATAGCCGTGTTATTATATATTATATATTATAAATGGTATGAAACTCAAATGTTTTACGAGGAAAACATAATGTAACTCGATAGTCATTTAATAGGTACTCCACATAAATAATATAAGAAATAAATAAAGCCATAAACATTATGGTAATATACACATTATACACAAAAACACACACACACACACACACACACACACACACACACACACACACACGCATAATAGTTTTGCCGCTACTGTACCTATAATATAGTTTCGGCCATTAGAATGTCGCGGTTACATCTTCGGGCTACTCGTTCGGGGTGTGTGTCTACTACTGTACTCTGTATACCTTAGGTATATAATATTATTATGTATACTATGTTTATGTGTATGTATAATGAGTAAATGTGGTTAAAACCGTGTTCGTATAATATCCGTTTAGGAGCGGGTAAAAGGACGAGCGTTGCGTAATGTAAAAATATTTCGTCCGACCACTTTCGGTCTTCGTATTGGGATTTTACGCGTAAACTGCACAGGCCTATAACGTTTATGGATAAGTACGTTTTTTTTAAATGTTAACACTCGCAGTCTTTGTCTCGAAAATCTTCGATCATCGATTTTTGAAATATGTTTATTTTTACGCAATTTGATGAGGTGGTTATTTATTTATTTATGAAAAAATATTGTATTTACAAGTGTTTAAGTTTTTTTTTACTTTTTTTGAACGAATACGTAGGTACATTAATAGTAATTTCATAATATTCTAAAATGTTATATTTTTCTGAGCATTTCAATGTCAAAAATAATCGAAGATGAGTGATGTATGAGTTTAGATGGGCAGATGAGTAGTGGACCGAAATTTTTCAGAGTACACTTGCAGTGCCACACTAATCAGCACGTTTAAATAATTTAGAAAAATACTTGAAATACTTATTGTATGATGTGTTTTAACTTATGACCAATAACTACAAGATAGATATTCAATTATTATTAAAAACTAAATCATTCTGCTTCGGAATATGAAATTAAAAATTAATTCTGTCGTTCGAAAAAGTAATTGACTTAGAAAAGAAATATTAGAAAACATGTTGTTTATGAATGCCTTTAAATTATTTACAAAAAAATATTTTCAAAAATGTTTTAGTTTTTGTCGAGGGAAAATGAGTTTGAGAATCTTGAATAGAATCGCCGTGTATGTATTATACGCGTCGGTTCACTCGCTTTGCCCCTTCAATAAATAACATATATAAATATGCATACACCGATGCAGTTCAAATAGAATATCCGACAGATCTAAACACGTATCTGTATAAGCAATGTGAGAAGTCGGTTTGATTGGGACATTCAGAAAAAGCATTACGCAGAACAATATATTAATAAATTATTATTGTGCATTGCCGAGGCCATTTCAGAAAAAAAGTGTTCTCCATATCTGTTGGACAATGGTTAAAGTTTTGAAACAAAACGTTTCAACAAACCATTCGTCTTAATCTCCACTCAACAAGTTAATAACGTGCCTCCGTATTATGTATTTTGTATCACAGTGTGGGATCTAAGTCCCGGAACGAAATATTATTTAAAGGTCTCTTTTAAAACAAAATACCCTTTTTAATTTATCACTTTGAATCTGTGGATTTTTTGATAAAAAAAAAATGCAAGTTCGGATAAAGCAGAAGATATTGTGCACTTAATTACCTGTTATTTAATCGTTAATAACCAACCTTAAGCAAATCTATGACTTAAACCTGAATTCCTTAAAAAACCTCAAGCCCCGGTGCAATGCAATCCTCACAGTTAAATCTGTCACTGTATGCTATAGTAATACTTAACAATTTATATTTATAAAATTATTGTCTTCAATTTATTAGACCTATACTCTAATTCTAATACCATTCCGTCATAAAAACAACTATATAGATTCGCTTAGAGAACAAGACATATAATAAAATTGTACTCACATTTGGCTTTCTTATTTTTCTGAGACGTCGTACGTCGACAAAATCCGATGACAGAGATAATCAAAATCATGACGATGATTCCACCCACGGCACCAATGATTGCTAAGATCAGCATAAAGTCTTCTGTAACGAAAAATTAAAATATAAGTAACTAATAATGGAATAACACATCTTATTATATTATTTAAGTTGTCTTTAGTATACATGAATTTTGTCTAAGCTTGTGAATTAAAAAAAAAATGGTTTGAAACCCACCTATTGTAACTAGTAAGGAGTTTTGTGTAGGCACAATTTAAGCTCTATAATATTATGGATACATTTTATAGGCTAAAATATATTATATTATTCAAATATTTTATTGACTAAATTGTTCAATTTTCATTCCACCACACACCCATTGATCCGCAATGTTGTGATTTGGGTAATAAAACCGGATATAAACGTCTGAATGATAAAATATGTTTACTTTGCATCAAAGAAACAACTTTTTTCAATTTATTTATATGAAAAAGTGTAATAATTATTAATTGTTGAAGATAGATATAGTTTTATGTTTCGAAAGTCAAATATTGATAAATCTATAGGTATATTTCCTATTTTATAAAATTTAAAAATTGTTGGTAGTATGACAAAACGAGGGATTCAAACAGGTTTTCAAAATCTTTGTAAGGAAATAGTTCTTTTTTACCAGGAAAAACGGTTAGTTTCGAGTACCATGTTAATGGATATAAACGTGTGAATTTTTTTAAAAACCCTCGTATTATAGAACACAATTTTTTTCTAAATTTTGTATTTAACTCGTCACCAGAATCTAGTTTGTATCTTACTTTGTGGCACCAGCACGATCATCATCGTGTCGGATCCGTATTCGTTGTGTGCCGTACAGTTATAGGTTCCGAAATGTTCTTGTACAGATTTCCTGATGATCAGCGTGCTCTTCACACCGTCATCGATCGGGTCTTCCAGTACCTGTAAGCAGAAAAATTTATAATTATAATTATTATATCACTGTTGTCGCAATCGATTTCGTATACGTATATTTATACAACATTTATTCACGACTGTCGGACTGTCTCTACGTCATGTGATCGCGTGTCACATACGGTTAGGTACCTATGGCTATACAAATCCGTTATTATTGCCGCTTGGGCAAAACCCCTTGGGTTGGGTGGCCTGGTATTTATTACAGATTAGAAATGAAAAATTAAGTATTAATAGAAACTAGAAAGAAGATATCATGATGTGTAGAGAGTAACTCGGTTTTATGGTAGGTAAATAGTAAGTTTTTTGAGAACATGCGTTCTACTGTAACAAAATCCTAGTTCACTAACTAAATTCAATTTCAATTCGTTCCAATAAAATAAGAATATGTTAGAGGTATACAATTCAATTTATCGCCGTAACATCTATAACAGTTTTGAAGTTCATTTTTTATATATATATATAATATTTACACACCACTGCAGCTCCTATATACGTACATAATATAGGTAGTTTGGTAAAAATAGGACTGACTCGGCAAAAACGCCATACGAACCGAAAAGACACGATAGGATAATAAGTGATAATAATCGAGTTGATTTCACATTTTTGTTATATTTTATCAGCGTAAGCAGAGAAATATATTGTACGGGACCAAAACAAAAAATAAAATATATGCCTACCTATCAAAAGCTTGGCCCTATATAGGCACACACGAGGTGATTTCCGTGATTTCCGGATGAAACGCAGCCGACACACACGGTGGGCAAAAATATATATGTATAACATGATCTGTTGTCTGTTCTCATAAATACTCCTCGCGTGTACGTTATTATATTTGGTTTTGGAATCTGTTCAAAACGCGCAGACGAAAATATGTGCCGTATACTGTTTATTATATACATGTATGGGAAAGCGCATTAAATACACAGACATTTAATAGGTATACAGGGTATAACACGAAGACAAGGCAAATAAAATAACTTTTGTTCTGATCAATCATTTTTTTCATTTTTTAACAGTCACTTGCACTACATGTGTAGTACCTATTACATTTTTATTTTAAATACTAAAAATTTAAATTTTAAATCTGGCATACATTTTTTTTGAAAAGTCAAAATAGCAAATTTACAATATCTGGTTTTTAGAAAATGTTTGTTTTAAAAATATTTATCTAAGTCATGTGGTTTATTTTTTTATAACTTTTTGAAATCTCATTATTTTTGTGTAAAGTCGACCCAATTGTAAAAAAAAACATTTAATAATTTAATTGAAAAATTACAAACTTTTTTAAAATATTTTATGAGAATTTTTAAATAGGTAGGCTACCTATAATTATTAAGATCTTAATATTATGTTTTAAAAAATGTATTAATTTTCAAATTAATAATGTTTACTACAAAAAAAAAAAAAAAATTTAAAAACATAAAAAACGAACCACTATTGATTTAGATAAAATATGTTTTTACAATCAAAAGTTTTCTAAAAACCAAATTGGCTATTTTGAAGTTTTAAAAAATATTCAAAGCAGATTTAAATTTATTTAAAATAAAAATAAAAATGTGTTATTACACGAGCGAGTCTATAGTTTACATTGAAAAAATATAAAAAAATTAAATAAATATTGATAAGAACGAAATGTCTTTCATTTGTCAGGTCTTCCTGTTACATCCTGTACACATTCGTGTACAAATGACTTACACGACGACGGACGATCTCGTTTTCGGCATGCGTTTTTATTATTATTATTATTACGATGATTATCGTCGTACATAATTCCGGCTGTGACGATAGTAATTTCAGACGGTACCTAGTTTTTTCACGCACGTTGAAGACACGACAGACTCGAAAGGCGACGTCAAAGGGTAACTACTGCATGTGCGTAATACATATTATAAAACGCCTATATACATGTATATATATATATATATATATATATAGAGAGAGAGAGAGAGAGAAAGAGAGAGTAGACGGTCGTTGAAACGTGGTTTTATTTATATATATTTTTTTTTACTTTAGATCCATCGCCATACCCTACATACATTTAGTTTTAGGGGTTAACGTAATCTGTGGGTGGGGTCAGAGAGGGGGGTGAGCAGTTCCCCCCCGACATATTTAGTAGGGCAAGGATATTGTTTTGCCCTCCCGTTTTAAACTCTAATTTATTGTATATACTATATTATAACAGAATTTTTTGTTTTATTTAAGGTTTATGCTTGATCTAACCCATTATTTTTCTGTGTGCGTTCGTCATAGATTTTATGTAATTACGATTTAGTTATTTAACTCATCAGCCATAGTCGATTACCAAATCTACGTCTTTTATATTAGAGGGTAATTTATTAGATACCTATTAACTATTAAGTATACCTACACTAAACCGCAATTATTAAAGTAATATACGAATATTAAAACTGGGAACGGAGTGGCCGAGCGGACTAAGGCATCGGTTTCGAAGCACACCGAAGCGGGTTCGATGCCTCAGCCATGGGTGGCATTTTTCTTCGAGCAAGTCACGGTGTCCGGAGAACAAGTGCCCCCATCCCGTACCCGGGCATGACAGATACCTACGGGTGCCCAAATAAAAAAATTCTGCCAAAACAAACACACACGTGTACCTCCCCCTACCTTAAAAAACCTACAAACAAAACAAAAAATAGCTATTAATGGCCTAAGTTGCCGGACTCAAGCTGAATAAAAAAAAGAAATATATATTAAAATTGTTTGTAGAGTACAATAAAATATAATACAATACTTGAATACCTACTGATATCTTTGTTAAACAAAATAAACTCAACTATAAAATTTAATTTTGAATGTTTTTAAGCATTTTGCATATTATTTTGCATAATATGCATATTAATTTTTTTTTAATAAAATATAATAAATATTCTCAGCTTTATACAAACATCTTAATATTTAGCATAAGACCGGATCCATAACTTAAAGAATAATTGTAATAAATATTATTAAATAGTATGCACTACGAACATAAGTATACCTAGGTAATAAGAACGATAATAATACTATACCTATATGAACTAATTATAAAATATTATGTTGTAGGAGATGATGTATTGTTATTTGTTATTGTTATTATTCTTAAGACCGTTTATATTTTAATTGTACCTATTTGTTATTTTTATGTAATAACGTAATTAAATTTTATATTAGTTTAGATTTATTGTAGAATCGTCTAATTCGCAAGCCTTGCTTTTGGAGTAAAATTATTTCGTTTTAACGTGTAGGTATCTACCATATAATTATCAAGTAATAACGAAACAATAAGAATAAAGGATATTAATCACTGAATAAATTGTCAGACAATTATTGTCGTGTACATTTTTTTTACTTAAACGATTTTTACGCTCGAAAGACTTTTCAGCCGAAGCGACGTGGTGAATTTCACGGTTAAAATATAAGTAATTAGGAGGTAGGTGCCTATAACATTTGACTGTTATACTATTCGCCACGATATTATGTTACCACTTACCGCGTGTTACATAATAATAATAATAATAATAATAATTCGACATTGTCGTTCGCACTCGAATGTATACTATATGAACACACTTACCAAATCAGTATTATTATTATTATTATGTTTTAACACAAATACAATGTTGGAACACTGCAGTTTATATTATATCATATTTATAAAATTAGAATAGACGAAAGCGGTTGGTCGTATGGAGACCTAACGCCGTCTCCTCCTGCAGGAGAGGGCGTGGAATTTCGATAATTGGCGTCCCGTCCCGTCCCTCGACAATTATTACATCACTCATAATAATATATACATCACAATAATAATATTATACATTATACATGCACGACCTCCGCTGACTGATTGCTCGCATTATTATGATTTATATTATAATAATAAAGCAATCGTTGTTATTCCGTTGTATAATAACACAACAACGGCAACAATAACAAAGTATAACATGTCATTATACAATCGGTCCTTTGAAGCGTTTTATTATTACAATAGTGTTCATTTCGTCGTCGATATCGTAAGAGCAACGTCAAAAACGACGACGAAAACAACGCCCACGCAAAAGCACGTGGTTTGCTGGCGTTTAAACGTGAAACCATTATTATAATAATTCGCTGTGTGTTGACAGCCCCGGTGAATGCCATACCCACAATATATTTTGGCCGCCTGTTATACAGAGTGATTAGTCGAGCACGATGTTCACCAACCGTTTTATCCCATGAATTCATTCGGACTCGGATTTTTCGAACTTATGAACATAATAATATATGTATAGATAATATTAAAGACCACAATATAATATTATAATATTTCATGATCGTGAGATTTCATGTACCTACTACTACTCGAGAAGGTTAGGTAGGGATAACTACTGCGGTGATACAAACTTCTGTATATTATACAAAAATCAGTCCAGATAATTAGTGTGGATACCTACCTAACAGGTATTTATGAGTTATGACTTAAGATATATAATATAACCAGTTAGCCGTTTATTACACCATGTATGTGTGTAGACTCTACAGTCTATACATATACAAGTACTATACATTATGTATATGTATATGTAGACACTTGGATTAATGTGTGTATGGGCTTTTTCTGCATCGCTTCGGAACAAAAAAAAAAAAACGTACACTTCGATAATACTAAAAAACCGAGTATTTCTTCGTTTTAGTCAAACCGCGTTTTTATGTATTTCTTTTTTCCATTTTACGATCATATGCCAATTTCAAATTCATATAACGCTCCGGCGTGGTTATTCGAACGTTTCGTCTTGCAAATGGCCTTTTCCCTTGTTTTTTATCATGCCAAACGTGCAGTATATTATACAATAAATAATAATATATCACACCATCAGTGATCTCAACAAATGGTTCGACCTAAGGCATCACGCGGAGTACAGTGTGCTTTTTGGGGCGTTAAGGTACTTAACATTTCTTATATTTCGAGGTTCAAATTGTAGATTTTTAAGATTCGATACTCAAACAATAAGTTTAACAACATTATAATATTAATAAGGATGAACTTCTAAGTGGATTTCGAGTGGCGAACACTTTAATATATAAGGAGATTATTTTAAAGGTAAAACACTCTAATGTAGGTACTCGGATAAGTTTTTGGAATTATTTTTTTTAAGTAATTTAAAATCATCACTTTACATTTTACAACATTTTTGAAAAAGAAAAAATTTGTTTACTTTTTATCACAGTCTTAACTCTTTTTAATTGCCTTTAATAACAGCATAATAGATACATATTTAATTTTGGAGCGAAATATTTTATTGAAAATTCAAACAGATGAAAATGGAATCTCGAAAGATTACTAATTAGTTTTAAATGCTAACTGATTAAATTTTAGATGAGCTGAGTGAAATGGCTTACCTAATGTTACCTCACACATGCAAAATGTTGATAAACTATTCGGCTAATCTAAATTTTAAATAATTATTACTAATTAACTATTCTTTTGAATTTCGATTTTTATGTAATAGGAATTTTTGAAAGCATTTTCTGCATAGAAATATTGAGTAAAACATTTATATTGTCATTTAAAACATAGAAAATTATAACAATACAAATAAAAAAAAATTTTTTAAATGGTCTGTAATGATTTTGAATCATCTAAAAAAAAAATTCAAACAACAATATAGTATTTGACAAAATAAGAGTTTTACCTTTAACACAGTCGCTCTTGAGCCAATCTACAAATATATATCTATCATAGAGTGTTCGTTGAATTTCTGACGATAATTAGTAACAGGATGAAAATTGATTATTTAGAAAAATATCGAAAATTATAACCGTCATCTGTATGGTATAATAGTTGCCGAAATCTTTTATCTGCATTCTACACTTACATTGTAGGGTCACGGTCTTAGTACGAGTGATCGATCGGGAAAATAATAAAAGGGGCACCAGGCAAACATAAATAAACAACAGAAATGTAAGAGAAAGCCAAAAACTCTTGTACCGAGGGCGATTAACATTGATAATCGATCTGTGTAATCAGCTTAAGCTGATTTGTGGAAATGTAATGTAAACAACCGATTATTGATACTACTGCGCTTTTAATATACCGAGAAATTCCACGGGACTGACGAAATTAAAAACTTTTTTTCCTTTTGTAATAAATCGTATAAAATTACAACAATGGAAGCGAACATTTGAGGATAAGTAGCTAAGTCCTTATTCTCTTATTGAAAATATTCGAAAAAGTGTACGATGAAAACAGTTATAGGTACTTATATATATATTTTTTCTACTTTAAAGGGGTAGGTAGCTACTCAAAAAAATTAAGATATATTTAAATGCCAATTCAAAATATTGCTTAGGTGGTCCGTGCAATTGTGGATTGTAGCATATGATTTTACGGACATTTATTAAAAATCCATTAAACATTTTTGTTCTACATTATGTTTTAAAACAGATTATCCTACTAACAATTATGTGGTATTATACGGGCTTAAAATTTTTAAAAAAATGTTGAATATTAATATGCATTAAAAACGTTTGATATTTCGTTCATAAAATATTATATAGTCGCGAGATAGATTTATAGCCCATATCTACCTAGCAATAAATCTAACAAGCCAATAATAATAAAAGTAAATAACATATATCTTGCGCAAATGCGAGCGGGGACACTCGTATTTGTAATAGTATATTATAATCGTACCTAAGTAAGTATACATATGCTTTATGAAGGGCCATAGATGTGGTGGGGTGGTTAGGGTGTTTAAACCCCTCTTACAACATGGAAAGTATATAAATGTATTTACAAACATTTAAACGTACTAAATTTTTTAAATTTTTTTTTATAATATTATAAATGAGTATTATTTATTTTAGCTTTTCATATTTCTTTAATATTTAGAGCAAAATGAATAAAACAAAATAGAGAAAAATTGATTCCAATTATATAGAATGTATTTTACCACATAGATACCAATAAATTCCTCTCAGAGGTAGTAATGATTTTTGCAGTCCATTTAATTTTAAAAGTAAGTTGTTATCATCTTATCAAAATACAATTTTTATGAATGTATATAGAGCGTTACTATATTTTTATTTTTTGACTTCAACTCATAGTGAAAATAATTTTCAGGCCATTTTAAAATATACGACTAAATATATTTTGAGTATGTAATGTCACACCTTAAGTCAGATACAAGATATATCACGTATTTGAGCCCTAGAATTCAAAATTAAATATTAAATTCCTGTCTACGGCCATACATATATATACTGACTTTATGCCGTACGTTTTGTAATTTCTTCCCATCACATATCTTGTAATATTTCTATAGGTACGAACCTATTGCATTGCATAAGTAATATTTCTTACTCACACGATTCGAGTATGTTATAACATTAGAGTTTGTCTTGCTATTAATCGAGGTAGGTATAGATACTCACCGCATAATAGTTCTGATCCTTTTTACTGCCAATATTAACACCGTGGTAAGTCCAAAGTATCCGGTCGGCGACTGGCGAGGATATGGCGATGCACTCCAGTCGGACAGTTTCGGACAGAGGCCCGTACTGGATATGAGGGCTGTTGATGACCGGCTTGCCCCTCATGGACACGGTAGCCTCGGCGTTCACATCGCCAAACCTTGACGTAGTGGCCTTGCAGTGATATCGACCGACGGTTAGATTCGTCACCTGCACCGTCAAATTGCCGGTCACGCTCACCACCTGCAGCCAAACCACGGACGTTGTAAGTACATATTTTTAATATTATTTTACACTGTTTAATATGCCTATACCGCCTGTCGTCATATGACACGTAAATCTCGTGTCACGGTGACGATCGATCACGCGGTAATCTCCTAATATTCACTAAACCGATTTTAACAGAATTTTGCAAACGTCCCTTTTGCTTGGTCCAACTTCAGAGATAGTTGGATAGTTGTCATCTCGACAAGTGGCTCTTTTTTATTTTAAATTTCAGAATATTTTTTTATAGGACACGCAGCCACGAAGTAAGAAAAAAAATTCTGTTTATCTTAACGGTTGCATAATATTATATATTACTATTATAATTATTAGAAGAAATATTATGGCATAAACATTTTTTTACAAATATATTTATTAAAAATACAAATCTTTGGCCCGGGCGACGTCGGGCGGGATGGCTAATATATAATATAAGGTTACGAGTGTGAAACACTGTGGAGATGTATTTTTATGGGAAGACGAGACGAATGTATAAATACCATCATATCCCAGAACTCGGAAAGTTCATTTGAAATATGAACTAATAAAGCAGTTGTTGCACATAATACACAACAATAATACAATATAACATCGAACTAATAAAGTTACTGAACTTGTTTTCTTTAAGTTCATAAAGAAATGCATTTATAAGTTAGTTTTTTCATTTTTACAATAACTTCCGATAGTTTTACCTCGTATTAATGATTCTATATAAATTGAATGTCGTATTAAATAAGTTAGCAACATATTATTATATTATTTAAATAATAAGACAGTGTTTATATTTCAAATTATTTAATTATTATAAATTATAATTGAGTAGTCATTGCTGTGATTTGTTATTTTAAAATAAAATGTACTTCCTAAAAAAAGTTTAAAGTTTCATTTATTAAATACGAACAAAATTCGAATTAAGTAAAATATGGAGTTCATTCATTTTTAATTTTTAACGATGAATGAGTTCATTCCAAGTTCTAAGATAACTATGTTTATATATTTTTCAGTAGGCATTTTAAAATAATAATTATATACAAATGATTAATGCTTTTTGTTCTATAATATGATGTGTTTTAGGTCGACGAACGTTACGTCTGAGAGCGACCCTTACCACCCTTAGTCCGGATTTGATTTTGACTGATATGCTGTGAGAGGGATTAAAAAATAATTTAAATTATGAGCAAAATATTCACCATCATACACAGTGATTAAAACTTTCCAAAACAATTAGGCTAATTGACAAATACTACCCGAGGGCCAACAGGTGTAATGGCCACGTGCCATATATAAAATAATAATAGTTTAGGAGCTAAATAATTTAACACTCACTCTTTTTGTTTTCTCGAACGTCCACTCGATGGTCGGTGGCGGATTGCTGTCCACGTCACACATGATGGTCACATAACTTCCATTATCCGCTTGGACGTTTTTCGGTCGATTTTTGAACTGAGGTTTATCTGTGTGCAGAAATACAATATAAATACATTTTGGAACAGTATATTATGGAGGTATATTTTGTGGTGTAAAATTTAAGCCTGTAGGGAATATGTATATATCAATCGGTAATATTCAAATTGGGGAAATGGGGGTAAGTGACATAGCTGTGCATACAACGTGATTAGTGATCACTGACAGTTTCGAGAGCACAAGAACTGCTAGTGTATACTTATGGCCATTTAACAGAGAGATATTACATTTTTTCTTCGGTAAAACCGATATTTATAACAATAAAAATGCGAAAAATTAAACTCTCATAACTATTGTTGCTCATCGCGTTTTTAAATACTTTAAGACAGGTGAAACCATTATTAATTCGTATTATTCATTTTGCTTTGATTTTTTTGTGGATATTTTCTGAAAGAGCATAAAATATATTAATATAATATTGGTATGCTTCAAAACATTAATTGTTGGGTGTTTTCAATTTTAAATATTGTTCTGAGTATAGTAATATAATATTCTATTTTTCTAAAACTATATAATATAAAGCAATATTATAATATTATCAAAGGTAGTTTTTTGAATAAATAGTAAGTATTCAAGTGCTCAGGCTATTCAGGTGAAATTGAATAGAAATATAATATATACGTAACAACCTCGTGAACGAGACGCAGTTAATAAAATAACCTCGTTCCGAAAGCTTTTATAAAAAACCGAAGCACTGACGTCATAAATTAGGACAATGTACTATACTGCGGTGCTGCAGCCTTACACTGCGGTGTGACTGCAAGTACCGGTACAAATACCAATATTCGAAGAACTTTCAACATTTTTTTTTTTATATGAATGGATTAACATTGCTAAAGCTGATAGATTATTGATATTAGTAGGTATACCTAAGTACTTTGGGTGAAGAGGATCATCGTGCACGACGGTATTCAAAAATCACGTTCACACCTGTCTGACCCAAGTGTTACTCTATACTATGACGCACATGAAGTTGCCTCCCCCCCCCCGACTTAACGCATACAGTTGTATAAATTAATTATAAATAATTCTAATTTTTTCTAAACTACGTCATTATATTATTGACTTGACAGGTCAAGGGGGGCGAATTTAGAGAACTATTTACAATAATGTTTGCAATAATTTTGATTTTTTTTCCACATTAAGTTGGATGTATGTGTTACACTATGGATTATTACGGTATCTATTGACTATTATATCATCAGACTTAATTTTCACGATATATAATAATACATTTTCCCGTCACCGCACAACCTCGGCGATCACCACCTGTTCATTATCAATATTATTTGCGACGGTTATATATCGTTGGACAAACATAAATATATTGTACGGAACGGGTGTAATAGATCTGAAAATTCGAGATGCATGGATCGGTTTTTTTTCCAAAAAATGTTGTCCATCACGATGATGACTTCATATTGTTATTCGTATACGTCTTATGGCCATAATAAAATGATATATATATGTATAGTATAATATTATAAGCGTCGAAACGTTGATAATTAAATTCTTTTTCAACATATTATTATATATATATATTATACGTGTTGTTATTATTATTATTATGTTGCAGAGGTCGCGGACGTGTACCGCACACGGATTCGGCGTCGCGTAATTAAAAACGAGTAATTAAAATGTGGATTTGATACAAAATAAAAAAAAAAACTAAAATGTGAAAAAAAAAAATCGTAAAACCAGCACTGGCGGGAAACCGCTACGGTTTCCCGCGGAGCGCGACCGACACGATGATGAGGTCTCAGACTCGCTCATTTTAATACACAAGCAAGCAACACTATTCATATATGTATAGCTGGTATACGAGTCGTCACGAAAAACGCCTGCGGACAATGATTTAAAACACATTTGCAATTTATTATTACTATTATTTAGATTGTATTATAATATACACATAATATTATTATTATCATAGGTAGAGGTCCTCGCAACGTCGTTATAATATTTTGCAGTGCCCGCCGAGTTGGCACCGACAGGTTATGATAACAATATAATATGCTGACACAAAAAATACCTAAAATATAATATAAGATACTTCGACGCACAATTATTTCGTAGGAATTTATACTATAGATTATGTTGTAAGGCCGTTTTCAGATTGAGCCAGATTTAGCAATAAGATATTTAAATTTTTCGAATCGACATAAACAGATACATAGGTACCATTATGCAGTGACACTTTTGCTACCACACTGGCACTGTGCAGAAAATGTAAAAAAAAACATTTTTCATTCATACGCCTGATGTTATCTGCATTACCCCAGTCGCCTCTGAGCTCCGAGAAAGTCTCAAATTTGGTGACAGCGTCAAAAAATTGTCTGATTTCAAACAAAAAAAACTGTAAATAGCTGTCATTTAGACGAATTCCATGCCATTTTTTCGCTATAGTCTTCCCCCCTTCGTTTCCGAGGGGAGATTTCAAGCTTTGCGCTTACACTGCCACTTTATAATTCCATCGTGACACTATCGCTCCCCTCACCATTTTTAGTATATTTTTATATAGGTACACACTCATTCAGACGAAACTAAATGAGTTTATAATGTGCGCATGAAAAACCATTTGTTATGATATATTTACAATATTGTGTATGATAATTAATAATTATTGGAAAGTCAGTAACCCTAGTCCACGATGTATAGTGAAAATATTTCAATCCTGTGATATATGGCTTAATGGCCGCTCCCTTGTATACCGTGATTTGCAAAAAAGAAGATTGAAGAAAACCGATTAAAATTTTTTTAATAAAAAGGGTTATTGACTTTCTAAATTACACACTGTTACACGGCTGAGAATGTTTATGGCACTTAATTATCGAGTGTCCACGACGTTGGTTTTGACAGGTCTATAACAATATGTCGTTCAATCGTTTATTCACTGTCACTACACCTTATGGTATATCGGAGTGTTTTGTCTGACCGCGGCTACACTAATTTCCCAAGCAAATTTTGCAGATTTTGTGGAAAAAGTTGTTTAGGTTTGATATAAGTTTGAGAAAATCTGTTTTTTTTTTCAAAATCGGATGCTTTTCTAAAATGTGGACGTATTATATATTATGTAATATCAAATAACGAGGTAGGTACACATATGGTTTTTTTTTTTTTAGATAAGTGGTGCGTAGTGGACTCCAAGGTTTTATGGGTATTAGTCTTTGCAATTTTACTTACTCCGTTTTTCTAAATGTTTTTCTAAATATTAATTTTCAACCACAATATAATAAACAATATAATTGTATTTAGTGTTATAAACTACATAGATACAACAACATAAACTAGGTTAATAAAATAATCGTTTATTTCAAAACTGCAAGAGTCCACTTAAAGAATTTGTGCGACGTCGCGTAAGTTTCGGCCGGTCGTTTGTCGAGCTTAATAGTTAATTGGATCGCACTGAACGACGATAAGTCTATAAAATAATATTATACTACACATTTACTACAAATGGTGGTTTTGTAAAAATAAGTTTTTAGAGTAGTTGAAAATAATGTAGTCCTTGTAAGCATATTGAAGATTTCTAAAAATCAGAACCAGAATAAACGGATTAAGTAGGTATAATAAAAGAGAGGTTATCATGGTTGGTGAATCACTCTGTATATTATATTATTGTATAGTCTGCCGTGTCGATAAAACAAAAACCTATTAATAATATTATATACTATAATATGCTCGATATCGCCTCAATATTGTTATGGCAGCATGTCCGGTAATTGTGCTGCGACGGTGACTGGGAAATGTCACGGTTTCATGAATATATATTATTATTATTATTATTATTATACGGTGGGTCTTTTCCGAGGAGACATGTGAGCGAGGTAACTCGAAAAAATTGTCATCGCTTCGTAGTCACGTCGACCTATAATAATATTATGTATTAAATTATACGGGAAAAAAAAAAGTAATGATATTAAAACTCATCGTCGCCACAGATCGACCGTAATCATTATACGATTTATGAAATAATATATACATGTAATACTATACGGAGTGTGTCTTTTATCGGCGGAATTTGGATTTTTTTTATTATTTGCACAACTACTGGTATACACCCTCCAAGTTTGAACCTTGAACGTGCACCTACCGGCACCATCATACAATTGGGTCGGATTATGAGCGTCGTAATAACCGGTATATGCCGAGCGGTGTGCGATAGCCGATGAGAAAATCACCCTGTATACCGTATTTAGGTACATGTTAATTACACGGGACCTAACATACATTTTTGCCCGCGTCCCTCTAATCACGAGTACTTATGGATTATACATGTATGCTTTCATGGTTCGTGGGATATAATAAATAGTCATCAAGTGTACGGATGTGCTGAGAGGCGACCTGAAACGACGGTGTCGGAATACCAAAGCAGAGCGAAATACGATGGTAAAATCTATGTGCATGTAGGTTTACGTTTTGCAGGGTGGTTTTGCGATGACGAGCGCAAATCGTCGGAAAACGCCTATCCGAAGAAAATGAAAATAAGAAAGTCGTCCAACTCATACCGACGTCTATGGCCTCTCTATACGCAGGTTATGGGGCTCGTTAATGGCATACTTCCAAATACTTAAGATATTTTTATAAAATTTAAGGAGTAGGTATATCAGAAAAAAAACAAATGCACCCTTTAAAAGAGGACAGTTTTCATTTGAAAAAGAAAAAAAAGAAGTTTGTATGGTAATGGGACACATTTTATTATATTGTATAAAAATTTAATTATTTGTAAATATATGATCTCAAGTATATTGAAAAATTCCAAAAATTAAAATTCTTAGGTAATCATAGGACAACCTCGAATAACGTCGCTAGCAGACACAATTTTTATTATAAAATTTGAAAATATTAAATTATGTTTGAGTAAGAATTATTGTTGTATAAAATATTACGTGGCCACGTATTTTTATAATTTGCTTGAATTATTAATGATTATTAAACTTCAAAAGAATTTCCTTCAGATTTAATTTCTTCCTGTTTTCACCATAATATAGCAGAAAGAATCGTAGCGAGAACAAAACACGCAAACGCATTAAATTCACAGTCCTGCATACCTATGTACGAGTTTACAACAAACAACCCTGGTACATTATGTATAATGTACGCGCGCGTACAATATCATATTATATACCTATATATACCATAGAACACGTATATGGTCGAACGTCGAATGAATAATATCGCGGTTTCACGCAATGCACGCACACATGATGTCCACACGGAGAGATGTACGCGCACATCTGTTCAAGCTCTGAACGTGTGTATGGATCTATAATATTATAGAGTAATATGGACCAGACGATAATATAATATTATAATATTTGTGTGACAAAACCGTCGCGTATCGGCCGTTTCACACGATTATAATATTCGTATAAACTGCGTGTGAGACGCATAAAACATAACAATACAATATGATATAATGGGTACATAAGTCATAATACGCATCGTATCAATATATAATAATATTACGACGAATCTGCAGCACTCGTGGCGGCAACTCGGACATTTGTTATTTAATATTTTACCAGTTTGGTATAATTATCTGTGGGGGGGGGGGAGCTAGATATATACAGGACTAGACAATTATAAAAACATTTAAAACAATAATTTCGGATAAAATATAAAAAAATTAAAGTAAACACCGTGAGGGGGCTTCAAAAGTTTCTGTGGGGGCTGTAGCCCCCATGCATGCTATTCCCTTGATTTTAACCTATAAAGATGTCTTAATTTATTTCGCCGCCACCGTAGCACCTGCAAATTTTCGCCTTTCTATATGCGAAAAAATTATAAGTAGGTATACCTACTAATAAGTACAAGTGTGAGAGCATCAATTGATTGGCAACTGACGGGGAAAAGACCCAGAGGAAGACAAAGAAAGCAATGGACAGATAGGGGTGAAGAAAGATGATCTGGAAACACTAGAAGTGAAGAATTGGGAAGATTGGAGAACAACGACGGTCCCGGGAAAAATTTTTAAATTATATTGTAATGCCAGAGAACGGCGAGAACAGAACAAAATGTCGACTTATATATTTTGGTGAATAAAAAAATGATCTATTATCCACTATCTATTATCAAATAAATAACAAACATAAGTATAATACTTTAACTTGTAGTTTTTAATATTTTTAAATTCAATTTTTTCCCTTAGTTATTTATAAGTAATTTTTTTGGTACATTTTAAAGTTTTAGTGCATTTTTACAAATATTACGTTAATTTGGTATATATTATATACTAAATACCTAAGTATTATTTATTTTTGTAACTAAAAATTTTATCTTACTCAAACACCAGGATTTAATTATAATTATTTATTTTTAAATTAAATTTTTTTCATTCATTCAAGCACATTATTTGATCATTTTTTAAGTTAATTTTTCTTGAGTTTTTATTGCATGTTTGTGTGTTTTTTTAGGTCATTGAAATCCTATCTCTAATTTCAATAGTATAAAATGTAAAATCGCTCGAAACTTCGTTTACGAAATCCGCACAAAACAAAACATGCCATTATTAATTAAATTTTTTTTTTAAATATTCACCACTGACAAATGCTAACCCTATTCGATTTACTAAACGTAGCGAGTAAGCAGCTGTAGGTACCTAGGGATACAGAAGTCGCTGCTGCTGTCTAGAACACGTGTAAATGTCGTCATCGTTTCGAAACGCACTGCACGTGAGTACATGTGTTACATCCGTACGTGTAGTATATGTATACACCACGGCGGTCTTCTCTGTTACGTGACATTTAGATTTTATTGCTTGTGTAATAATGTATACGGGAAAGGAAGAGCACGAGAATAAAAATAGTATAGAAACAGAAATAGAAATAGAAATTCAAGAATCGAGTGTTCTCGAGCTGCATATGACGAACTGCGATGGACCAGTAGCGAGTTGTACAAATCATAAATACATACATTATAACAATATAGTATTGTCTGTTTTTGATTATTATAATATTATAATATCACCCACACAAATAGTTTGATACAATCATTATGTGAATACTCGTCTTCGCGGTGATTCATTTTTCTAAAAACGTCGTAGCGCATATGTATATTTTAAAAACAAATACCAAACGGATGTAGTGTTTTGTTTGAATTAATTTACATGCTGCTGTGTTTGAAGTTTAGATTTTGTCCATGTGACCCTGTCACTCTAATCCAATAACTTTAAACAGGTACCTACGTTCACGAAATAATAAAGGTTGAAATCGTTAGAAAATATTATTCTTCCTCAGGTTATGTAGTCAAATATTATTACATAGTGATAAGCATAAGAGCAGCCTGCTGTCAATAAAATTTTATAACAAATGTACCTATATGGCTATATGTATATTATTTAATATTAAAAAATGAAAATGTTGAGGTAATGAAATAGTGTTTGCTGTCAATATAGAATTTCTCTGAGGGCACATCAATTTCATAAACCCTGTGTCAACTGAGACAGCCAGACAGGGAACACTCTATAACTTGCTAAGTATCTTATGCTTATTTTTAAAATCGGTTGGCGGAACATGAAACTAGACGTTGTCAAAACGACTTTATTATTTTCAAGATTACCCTTATTTTTTTTCACTTTGTATTCTAGATTTAAAATTCACTGCATGACGGTTTTTTTTATTTATATACATACTTTTAAGTTCAAAGCTCCAAGATACAATCAGAGTTCATCAATCTTGATATTTTTTTTATTAATTATTATTAAACAAATAAATATTTTTTTTTAAATTTGGTCTGCTCATTCAGTACAGTTTTGGTTTAGAGTAAAGTTGACCTACATAAAATTCGAAAAATCCAAATCTGTTATAAAAAATAAGTGATCTGATAAGAAAAATTGTGGTGCACATGCGCAGAGTATACAAGTTAAAAACAATTGAAAGTCAGATAAATTATTGACGGTCTACGCTTATCCACATGATAGATCTACATGTTAATATATGCAAACTGTATTCAAAGATATCCATTAAGAATTGAATTACCTATATTTTAGTGTTATCAATTTCCAGGGGTACACGAGGTGTAAGCCTGGATCAAAAGGTGTCCTGGTGGGGATGGGGTACGTCTTTAAGGCTCATATGTATGTGTAATAGGGCCTATATAGTGTTGTCACCTTAAAATTGTCTGAAGTGGTCATATTTTGTATACTTTTTTATAATGTAAAAATATTACCTACATTTCAAAAAATATTGTACGAATTCGTGTGAAAATAGTGTCACAACTCGCAATATTCTGAACTCTACAGTGAAACGTCGAAATACCGACCTCTCTATAGCTGACTGTTTTTTTCTGCCATTAAGGGGGTTTACATTGTAGAAAGTATGTAGTTGGTTCCCAAAAAAACGTCCGCTATTGGGAGGCGTCCGTAAGGGGAGGTTTCACTGTACGGTAATAATATGTAGGCACCTATTATTATATAGGTAACACGAAGGTATAATACTTACACAATATGCTCAACGCTTTGGATTCCTCTGTTTTCTCCACTGAATTTTGCGCCTCGCACCTGACCAACGAATTGTGCAGCCTCCTGGATATGTTGAACAGCCACAGTTCGGACGTGACTTCGCTCGGCGCGTACTGATCGTTGACGAACCACCGGTAGCTCACTTCCGGTGGGTTGGCTTTCGTCAGGCACAGGAACTGCACGTCTGACCCTTCGACCAGCTTCCTCGCGGGCCCGGCAATGGTCAGCGTTATCTGCAAAATGACAAGACGTTAAACATGAGCACGATAAAATAAGAACACGGGCGTTGTTAAATAATATTATATACAGGTAATAACTATTGATAAGAACATCGTTATACAGGTTGATTTTTAATCATGCCCACCCCCATTTTTACATCTCTTTAAATTCTGATTTTTAAAATTTGGATATATCTCGATCAAAATTCTAATGAGTAGTTTGTGAGTTATTAAAATGCATAATATACTGAAGATAATAATCCTTAAAAATAGTTTTACAAAAATATACCCCAAATGTAATATTAATTGTAGTAATTATTGTACTTGGACCATTTTCACAAATTATCTATAATGATAAATCAGTAATTATCAACATTTTCATATTATCGAAGCCCCATAACTACATAACCCATTACCATAGACATATTATCCTTAGTACACAAAGTTATATAACTCAAAAACTACTTGCTCAGATTTTGATTTAGATACAATATCAAAACTATCAAAAAGCATATCTGCTGAATAATTAATAGTGATAAGGGTTTATAAAAACACAAAAAATCAGAATTGTAATTAATCATGGATAACTTAAGCATACAAATAAGGTTAGCATGATTAAAAAATCACCCTGTGTCAGTTGCGACGATGGCCTTTAAAACCTGCTTATCAAACACAGTTTTTTTGAGATCAGATTTGAGCCTTTAAAATATCATACTACTATAATATGTTTCGTATATAAAATAAGAGCCCTACGCAACCGTTATTCGTCTGGTCGGCGTTATTGGTGGCGAACTTTAAAATTAATATTGTTATAATATCCACCACAAAACACGCGCGACAAATTACATCGTGTACATTATTAATCGATTAAAGTTGAAACATTTTGATTTTTTTTTTTTGTTTCGTAAAAGTTAAAATTGGATTTAATTTTATATATTATTATTATTATTATTATTTAAACGTTGTATAGAATAGTTTTCAACAGCTGCTCGACCACCACACCAACGCCAATTTTAAACCTAGTACCGGAATCCACAGATATGTGTCTGGGTAAAAAAAAGGGAACAACTGCAAGTTTGTAGTTGCAGACAAATCACGAGATGTATTTCGTCTTTGAATTTTAAAGTTGTGTAATAATTAAATATTCATCAGTTATAATAATATTTATACAAGTACTACTAGTTAGAAATTCGATTTTTATGCATATAAATAAAATGGTCAGAAAAATATTATTCCGTTTCGAAATACGAAATTAACAATTCATGCTGCCATTCGAAAATGTGAAAAACTTAAAAATGAATACTTACCGATAAAAATAGAAATAATACATAAAAAAAATGAAATCTTTTCAAAAACTTTATGTTAATAATTATTGATGAGATAATTATCAATATTTTCCGTTAAAAGAATTGCCTTGTACCTATAGAGCATTATAATGTACAGCCCATATAGCATTTACATAATAAACTACCTACCGATGTATAGGTACGATGTTATTGATTAAACGAAAGAAAACGGCGGATGTGATAAAAAAAAAAGCTCTCTGCTAGTTGATAAAAAATGTATACGAAATAATATTGGGAGTAGATACCTGCAGTATATATCTACCGGGGTTATGTTAGATATCTCCTAAATTATATGTGTATACCCATAATCTATATACAGTATACTTCCTGTGATATCGCCGCTCCGTAATTAGCGTAATGGCGCGGAATTAGAAATCAAAAAAAGAAAATAAAACCTTCGGTATAGGTATGCGTACTCTAATAATATTGCCCACGTGTAATATTTACGATATAAATATTGTGTAATATTTTTCGGGTTTAGATGCCAAACAGTATATACATGTGTAGGTATACAATTTATTGAGGCAGAGGTGGACTTATTTCGTACCTATATATATATGTCTATCCATGTTATGAGTTCGATTTTTATAATAACGTCTCGCACAAAACGAACGATCGGAAATAATAATTAGATCCTCAGCGGCACATTACAACGCGTGTATACGGAAACCCCGCACACATATAATAATAATAATAATAATATAATACGCCACTCGATCACGATAGATTATAATATATATCGTACAGCTCTGCTGTATAGACACGGTAAGCGTGGCGGTCGCCATTATATATAGGTAATATGTATTATATATGTATGTATGTATATAATAATAATAATAATAATAATGGATAATGGATAATGTTATTGTATATCGGGAAATTACTATTTTTCGATTCCGACAGTATACAGTCTAGGCATATTCTAGCCTCCAGCAATATATATTATAAATACATTATACAGTTATACAGAGCGATTTTTTAAATGTGTTCGCTCTATTTTTATGCTTAAACAATACGCGATACATTCGAACTCTGGTTTTTAGAATTTTTAAATACACTTGAAGACCATATTTTCGAATACTTGAGAACACTTTAAGAGGGTGATCGTTTTTTGAGAATTTTGATGTAAGTACTAAGTACCTATCTAAATCAAAATTCGAACGAATAGTTTTTCGGGGTCACATAAATTTGTAAGTATAATAGTACGTCTCTGCGGAAATTGGTGAGTAGCGCCCGGTATGGGGATAGGTATTCGCTATTAGGAGGTGTGTCAGTTAGGGGAGGTTTCCCTGTATCACAATTAGATCTGGTCCTATCCGCAGTCGTATATATAATATTATACAGCATGGTCGCGGTCTGTGTTATTATTTTTTTTCATCATCATCATCATCATCATCGCCGCAGTCTCCGTCGTCTCGGCCTCAACGAGAATTCACACGTCGTCTTGTCGTAGTCGTCGTCTGCGGGTCCCCTCTGCCGTCGGCGTGTGTGTTGTGAGAACGGAAAAAGAAACCCAAATAGGGAAACAGCGGTGCCGGCTGGTGAGTCGCGTGTGAGGGATTGGTAGAGGGAAGGGAGGAAAAAGAAACAATAACTCGTGTATGTGGTGACGGGACGGGCGGAGGGTACTCTGCAGCTAAACAGTGTCATTAATACGTACAATATTATTATCATTACAGATATTACGACATGCGCGTTATAATAATAATAATATAAGTCGTATGGTGTCATATGGGAAGCGGAGAAGTCCACCGGTACACATGTGCCCGCTAGTAGGAATACCCACCCGGACCGAGTGCGGGGAGGGCACACATTATAAAGCGTCGACGACGACAGAAAAAAAAACCAAAAATCTCAAAACATAATAATAATAATATAATACTGTATTATATACTCTGCAGACGTCGTCTGTCTGCCAGGCGCGATTACGGGCTAGTATAACAACTACGGAGACGGGAGATGATGATTTTTTTTTCTCGGGAGCTGCAGGAACACGACGTTTTTAATGAGATAATATGCGCGAGCGTCATTCTTTTAATGGATACAACAGCTACACACAATATACGTATTATTATTATTATTATGGTAATATATTATATAAGTGTAATATGTGTATTTTTGTCGGTAAACCGCACAATTACGACGAGCGCGCAGCGGCGACCGAGACAAGACTATCCTTTTTTTTTTCTAAAAAATTATTTATTAACGACAGCTAGTCTGAGCGCCGTTTTTTTCCACCGTCCCTTCGTTTTTACATTTTTTTCCCCTCTTGTTTTTGATACGCCCCGACGATACGTCGTGTGTCTGCGTGCTACAGTTTCGGACGACAAAACGGATCCGACGGTCGCCATGAATATTATAATATTTAACCGATTTCTTATCCGAAATCTAGAAAAATCGTGGAAAGGTCAGGCCCCTCTCATAATTCAGACCAGGACATTTGGCACACTTTTGTGATGCGAAGTATGCGAAGATGCAGCCCAAAACGTCACGTGATATTATTTGAAATCTTACGAAACGTATGTACACATTGGCAATATTAGAATACCGTTGTAGAAAACATTGTCCTCGTTTAGCAGAGGTTAATTTCTCGAAAGAAAAAACAGACCTGAAGAGAAACTGATAGAATGAGATTGCAAAGGACGTGTTATCTCTGTGGACTTTCTTTTGGTTATCAATAATATTTTTTTTATTTTTTTTTAAAGTTTTAAAGGCCATGGATGCGTTTTGCATCTATAGAAAACAATTTGTACCTATAGAACCTCAATTCCTTAAATCGTCCACGATCATATGCAGAGTCTTCAATCCTCGTAATTCTCTCCCCAAGCTTTCCAGATCCTTGGTGACACGATCTAACGATCGTTGGCGGGGGTCCATCTCTGATATCTCTATTTCCTTAATGATGTATAATTTTATCCTTTGCGTCCCAGATATAACCACTGTCTATTTCAGGCCTTTAGATTTAAACTGCAGACTTTGAATGTGTATTATTTTCAATCACCTAATTTTTCCTACGTTCATACATTCCTGATTTCTACGGGTCAAGCGAGGGATCGTATACCCTGTATCTTTCTTACCAAGTCGACTGCCTCGTGTATTGTACGATATTGTACTGTCGTATGTGACACACGTACAATTATAAATTATTGCCTTTCATATTTCACTTATACTTGCCAATTTCGTCTTTATATTATTATAATTATAATATGATACTAAACATTTTTTGAATTATTTAATAATTATTTTTGTCAAGAGAATTTCCCATGACAGAAACACTAAAAAAAGACTGAGTATCATATTATATTATAATATGGTACTCAAGGCTTTCGTGGCAAGATCAATGAAATTGGTGGGCAGTCGACCTGTTAAGAGTTTTCTTTAAAACAACCTGAGGAATTTCAACTCATCGCGTCTTCTATCGAATTGATCAAAATATATATCACCGAAATCATTCGTAAGCAACTGTTTTTTTTTATTTTTCAATCGACTGGCTGCTGCAATCGCTATAATAATGGTACTCATCGCCTATCTATATTATTACGAGCATATTATACTATATTATATATAGACGGCGCGTATTACATTTTCCCCTTTCCGCGGTCCGGTATATATCATACACAAGAATTATTACACTCCTCTAATTTAGGCCGATATGCGCAGCACAGCAAT